AAGGCCTGGCGCGATATGGTTCATGGGGTCGCGAAGAATCCGACACGACTTAACGACTGAACTACAACAACAAAATGTTTTAAGCCTCCTCTTAAGTGATAACAAGAAAGAGGCCAACTTCACCTCCCATGAAAAACTATAGACCATAAGGTGTAATAGACTACACCTTGCCATAGAAATAGCAGATACTGTTGTTGGTGTTAAGCATATCCATGAGAGGACAACTACTACTACATGGCCTTCTCCTTCTGCTACTTTAGGCACTCTAAACCTATCCTAAACCTACCAGTGTTCTGTGATTTGCTGCTGAATTTCAGCAGCGTAATCCCAGGAACTCTAAGGCAGCCCAGTAAAAGAGATCTGACGTTCACACGAGTAGCTAAACCCTGATTGAAATAACAGTGCGTCTAAGTCCAAAAGAAACTGAATAATCATTTATTCCCAAGCTCCTGTTTCATTATGGAAAACACACACAAATACACCAGAGAAAGAAACTCAAAACAGTGTAGTTTTTTTCCTCTCCCTTATAAGCCAGGACTAATTTGACCATGAGCTCAATTGTTGTCGCTTCTTTGAGCCTGTCTACATTTATACCAAATGTCAGATTGCCTTATTCTGCTTTCTCTTCTACATTTTTTAAGGGGACTTATTAGGTAGATACTGTGGTGCTACTATACCTGATCCTGTGGACACTGCTAGCAACTTGGCCTACATCAAGTTTGTCACTGATGAATCCATCAACGCCCCAGGCTTCAGGTTGCGTTTTGCTGCTAGTGCTGAAGGTAAAAGACAATCTTTTCATTTGTTTCTCTGCATGTCAAACTGATTTTGTACACCAAGCTTCATTTGCTGCAGGAAAGGGATACAGTATAGTTTGGGAAGTTCTGAAGTTGTTTTGCCATTTGGTTTTTTTAATTATTGTTTCATAACAGTGACTTTATATTCTAGCAACTGCTTTATATTTATAATAATAAATATTATATTTATTAAATATATTATATTTATATTTATAAATATATTATCTTTATCTTTTAGTTGTTGCCATACATAAAATAAAGGAGTAAGATATAATGTAGTATAAGATATAGCAATATATGGTGAATTGACTTTTCCAATATATTTTTTGAATGAAGGAAAGCATAGAAACAAGGCAAGCACTTCATTTCAGTGTTCCTTATCATCTTTCCTGAGCATCATTGTATCTTGCTTTGTTCTGTAAAAAAAACCCAAAGCCAAAAAACTGACAAGTGAGGCTGACTCTTTTTTAACATCATTCCAGAGTGTGGAGGTGAACTTAGTGGCACGGTGGGGACATTTTCCTCTCCCAACTACCCAAATCCTTTCCTGCACAAATTAAAATGTGAATGGAGAATCATAGTGCCATTTGGACATCGGATCACCCTTACCATCAACGACATGAATTTTGGATCCAGCCAGAATTGTAGTTTGAATTATTTGGCAGTAAGTGCATCATTTAGAATTTAAAATGTGAAAATTTATTTTCTAGAGGAATCATTGCTGTACTTGATTGATTGATTGATTGATTGATTGATTGATTGAAGGTTCATAATGGTTTTGGTGAAAATACTCCAAGGTTATCCAAACTGTGTGGTATGGTGACATCCGGCACTCAAGTTAAATCCTCTGGCAACAAGATAACGGTAGTTATGGTAACAAGCCAAGATGACTCAGAGGCCAGCTTCAGAATTACATACACTTCTGATGAAGATGCAGGTAACAATAAAAATGTGTGATATAAATTTTATAAATGGCTGCATATGGTATTATTTGGGTTTTATTTTAGAGATGTGTATCCTATGTGTATGCTCAAGCACAGTTTGTCATTTTTTGTTTAGATAGGACTGACACAAAGAATGAACTTAAATGGTAACCTCCCTGATAATTTTGCTGGGGTCTCTGAAAACATATTTCTTTTGCAGAGCTTGAGGAACAATGGGATGCAGGTGTAGTATGAGAGGAGTTGTTGGTTTATTGATGGCTTTTAGAATTTGGTTAATCTATATAAATACTATTAATAAATACACATTTCTCAAATTTAGTATAATTAAATTAAGTATTAATATTAATATAGTACTTTTTATTATTATT